CCATGTTTCCCAGTGGTCCGGTGGCCGAGTGAACGGGTGTGTGAGTGGCTGGGTGGTCTTTGAGGGGGGCAGTCGTGATGGGTCCCTGGCCTTGAGGTCTTTTAGCATTTGATGAACATGTCATGGCCCCCAGCCAGGGTCCCTGGACTGTAGGACTCCTGGGTTAAGACCCTTCAGTAGATGTAAGCAGAAATTATTTGGGTACCCCACCTCTAATTAGCCTCCCAAATAAAGGCCATACCAAAGGACAGTGAGTGGAAAGGTTTTCAGGAAGTCCTGAAATCGAGCTGTCTGTTGCTGCTATCAGTCATACCCAATAGTGTGTGTGTGTGTGTGTGTGTGTGTACACACACTGCATTTTATCCTGTTGGAAGAACCAGCAAAACGTGTTCCTAATAGGGCTGGTTTGTGTAAAGAACCTGAAATAAGAAAAAGGTCGTATACAGTTGACATCTCAGTCCGTTTGTTTTCCTTTAAAAATTTTCCATTTTGGAAAAAGACACATAGAAAAGAATATGTTCTCAAAAAGTTTCTTAAATCTTTTTCTCATGTTTTGGCACCCTGCCTTCCTGGGAAGCTCACCATGGACTGTGGTTGTCTTGGTGAGTCATTCAGTGTTGCCTGTATCCTCAGCACCCAATTCATTTATTTTTTTTTTTTTACTTTTATTTTTTTGGGGCACTGGGGATTGAACTCAGGGGCACTTGACCACTGAGCCACATCCCCAGCCCGTTTTTGTATTTTTTTAGAGACAGGGTCTCACTGAGCTGCTTGGAGCCTCACTAAATTGCTGAGGCTGGCTTTGAACTCTGGGTCCTCCTGCCTCAGCCTCCCGAGCCGCTGGGATGGCAGGCGCGTGCCACCGCGCTAGGCTGCCAAATTCATTCATAATGCACTCATTTACTCACTCATTCAGCTGGTGTTTCTTGGTGTTGGCATGTGCCAAGCTCTGTGAGACCCTGCAGGTGGTGATGTAGAGACAGGGTTCCTATGCTAATGGGGGGAGGGGTCCAACACATCACATAGTTGAAGGAGGGCTAATGATGGAGATGGTCATTGTGGAGTGGGCCCTTGGGAGGTGTGTGGAGGTGGAAGAGTGAGTAAAAACTCATCCAGGTGGAGAGCAAGTCATTTTTCTCTCCAGAGTCCTGGAGCCCCAGTTGTGAAGCAGAACTACAGTTGTCCCCAGTTATCTGAGGTTTTATTTGCCATGGCTTTTTAATTACCTGTGGTCAACCATAGTTCAAAAATATTAAATAGAAAATTCCAGAAATAAACTATTCCTAAGTTCTGAGTAGTGGGTACCTTCCTTCCTGTTTCATCTCCCACCTGGGATTTGACTCACCCTCTCACTCAGAGTATCCATGCTGTGTATGCCACCTGCCCGTTAGTAACTTAGTAACCATCTTGGTTATCAGCTCAGCTGTGGAGGTACTTCGGTGCTTGTGTTTAAGTAACACTTATTTTAATAATAGCCACAAAGCCTAAGAATAGTGATGTTGGCAATTCAGATATACCCAATAGAAGCCACAGAGTGTCTCCTTTAATTGAAAAAGTGGAAGTTCTTGACTTAATGAGAAAAAAAAATTGTATGCTCAGGTTGCTAAGATCTACAGTGAGAATAAATGTTCTATCCATGAAATCAAGAAGAAGGAAAAAGAAATCCATGTTGGTTTTTCTGCCAAACTGCAAAAGTTAGAGCCACAGTTAAGATGGAAAAGGTGCCAAATTTGCATATATACACAAGGGAAAAAACAGTATCTGTAGAGTTCTGGGCCATCTTGGTTCTGAGCACTGACCTGGGGTCTGGAAGGCTCCTCCTGAGGATCAGGGGAGTCTACTAATTCCCATGGCAGCCAGCGCAGGCCTGGACCCGGTGACCTACAAGGCCCTATTACCCAGAGTTCCCACGGTCCTGTGAGTGGGAAGCAGAACCCTGCAGGGAGCTCAGCACCCACCACGGTGGGGCAGGCTCTGGGCACGCTCGCTGGTGCTGCTGCTGGTGCCACTTAGATCATGCTTGGCCCACCTCCAGGGAGGGTTCATGTCCTTTGGCTGGATTCGTTGTCGTGTCAACAAGAGCTGCCAAGATCCTCCAGCAGGACCTGAGGGTGCTCTCCAGATGTGCCTGCCAGTCACTTCTCCTCCCCAGGTGGAGCCCCCTCTGGGACAAGCACCTCTCTAAACTTTGTCCTTTTTTGGGGGATGGTGGGGTACTGAGGATTGACCTTGGGGGCACTCGAGCACTGAGCCACATCCCCAGCCCTATTTTGTATTTTATTTAGAGACAGGGTCTCACTGAGTTGCTTAGAGCCTTGCTTTTGCTGAGGCTGGATTTGAACTCTCGATCCTCCTGCCTCAGCCTCCCAAGTCGCTGGGATGACCGGCATGCACCACCAAGCCCAGCTAAACTTAGACCTTGACCTCGAAGAATATCATGATAGGAAAAGTTCCTATGCTTGTCCCCTGGCCCCGGGCATCCTCCCACCTTAATAATCTCCTCATTGCTGAAATCTGGCTCCAATAGCCAAGAGGTTCTAAGTGCTCCTAGACAGTGGCACCTAACATCTGAAATCTGTTCCCTCAATCTCCTATGCAAATGAGCAGGCAGCCTGGCGTGTGGCACCCATAAGGAGTGGAGGCTGAGGCAGGAGGATCATGAGTTCAAGGCCAGCCTCAGCAATGGCAAGGCACTAAGCAACTCAGTGAGACCCTGTCTCTAAATAAAATACAAAATAGGGCTCGGGGTGTGGCTTGGTGGTTGAGTGCCCCTGAGTTCAATCCCTGGTACCAAAAAAAAAAAAAAAGAGCGAGTTTCCTGTATCAGAAGCTGAGCTCACCGAGGCCCAGCGAGGCTGGCGACCTGCCTTTCTAAGAAGCAGTGGCGAGGGTTTGCCTCAACGTCAAAGTCTCGGCCAGGTCACCGTCTCTCTGGGTCTCAGTTTCCCTGCCACAAAGCCTGGGCAGTGAAATCACCCGTGCGCGACGCTGCAGGTGGGCGTGGGAAATCAGGTGATGTCATGCTCTGAATAGTGTGTGGGCCGCTGGGATCCTGGGAACAACCATAACGGGCCCTGTTCAAAGGCGTGGCTGTGTGTTTGTCTATTTAAAGACAGGGGACGTCCCTGGAGTGACCCAAGAGTCTTGAAAAAGCATTCCTGCTCCATGACAGCCATTTGAAAATCGAACGTTCCACCTGGGGCTATTGAAGTGACACGGTGTGAATAGAACATCTGCTGCCAGGATCTGGGTGTGGTTTGGGGAAGACTGATCAGTAATCAGCTGGTGTACCTGTGTGTCATTTTAGCACTTAGGGAAGCACTTCCCTATCCATGGACCCTTGGATGGTTTCATTCCAGGGTGCAGCTTTGGAGACTGAGATACTGGAAAGTTCCTGGTCCACACACTGAGCAACTGTGTGACTGGGGAGGTCCCATGGCCCGCCCAGACCTCAGTTTCTTCATCTGTAAAATAGGGGCAGTTGTGTTCCAAGAGCAGTTCAGATGACTGAGCGTGGTGACTCACAGCAAGTACTTTAAAGAGCTTGGTACCAAGTGGGCACTCAGTGGAACTTAGTCAGTACTGATCCTGTTGTTTGGATTCCCGTGCCCACTGTCACGCACCCAGGGCTCTTCCTGATGCATCTCCTGTTCCCGAGGGGAGTAGAATTTGACTCTAGCAGAGGAAGTACTGGGGATAGAGGGAGAAAATTGTATTCCATGCACATGTGATCATGTCAGAATGAACCCACTGTTATATATCTATCTACAATGCATCAATGGAGACCTTTGAAAAATGTGACTCTGGCACAGCTGTGGCCTCTCCTGGGGTGGCCTGGCCAGTGGGTGGCAGGCCCCAGCTCCAGCTGCGGGTCCTGACCTCACAGTTGCTGAATATTCAGGAGCTCTGTGCTGGTCGATCTTCAAAGACCTTTGTTCACTGTTAATAAGCGCTTTGTTGCTGCCCAGAGAGGGGCGCGGCTGAGTCGGCCTTGGACGCTGTCACACATGGCGCGTGTCACATCCTTGGGGTGTGCTGGGTCTGCAGATGTGGGAGGCCCTGGGTGTGGGAGGCTCCTGGCCGTGGGCAGAGCCTTAGGCGCGTGTCTGTGTGTCATCTGTGGCCAGACAGTCGTTCTGTTGTGTCTGAATGTGTCCATCAGAGAGAGGGGCGGTCATCCCAGATCGGAACAGCTGGGCGCAGCTGGACTGCCCTCTGGGCACCGGGCTGTGACCCTCTACCCATCAGCGGGCCTGTGCGACCGACCTGGCCTGAGCCTCGCAGCCTCCAGAGCAGCCCCTTAAAGTGTGGTCAGGCCGTGGGCCTCAGTGGCCTCCATCCGGGTTACGACCTGATCTGATGGTCATGACCATGGCCTGCCAAGCCCGCTTGGGTCTCACCCCTGCCACTTCTCCAGTACCCGGGGGCTTCAGCCGTGTGTTATTTCTGCTGGTTCCCATGTCTGGTGAGGGTGGCCTGGGGTCTGGGGACAGAAGCCCAGGATCTTGGCTCTTGCTGTCACCCAGTTCCGTGGCCTTTCTCCCTGTAGCGTAGGGTCTGCCCCTGCTTGTAGCTGCCCCAGGGAAGCCGAACTTCTTACCCAGAGCCCCGGGCTCAGGAGCTACAGACGAGAGGCCACCAGGCCCTTTGATGACCTAGGGCTGGAACGGAGAGCACTCCTCGTGTTGTGTCCTTTGGTTAAAATAAGTCACAGGTCCTGCTCAGAATTAGAGCTCTGGTGTTGTTCAGCTTAAAGCTCGTTTGCACACACACGTGCAGAAAGTGAATGCATTTGCAGACTGTGATTACTATTATTTTGTGTGAGTGCTGAGCACCGCCATGAGCACTGTGAACAGCATAGGGTCCAGGTGACTCTGCTCCTGGCCTGGGCTGGTGAATATCTGCAAGGTGGTGGCCTCGGTGGGCTGGTATTCCAGGCAGGTTTGTGTGTTGGCCCCCAGGCCTGCCGCAGTGAAGGGCGGTTTTCTTCTCTCCCCCAGAGAATCAGTCGGTGGAAGGCTTCTCCTCGCCACCTGTGAACTTCCTGCAAGAATTGCCAAGCTACCGCTCGGTGGCCCGCAGGAGGACCACCATCCTTCCCCGGGACAAGCAGAGCGGCACCCTGCTGAAGCCCGCCGACTCCTACGGCTCCCACCTGGAGGGAGGCATCACCAAGAACCTCAGCAGCCAGTCCATCCGCAAGTACGCGCTCAACATCTCCGAGAAGCGGCGACTGAGGTGCGCCACCGCCGGGGGCTGCGCGGTGCTCCGCGCGGGGATAAGCTTGTGCACGGGCCGTGTTCCCTGGGAGCTCACGTCACTGGACCTTGCTTCCTTAGGGCTGCCGAGCGGTCACGGAGACACCCAAACCCGTGACAGCTCAGCAGATTATCAGCCTCCTCCTCCTGCTCCTGGTGCTCCTCCTCCTCCTCCTCCTCCTGATGCTGCTCCTCCTCCTCCTCCTCCTGCTCCTAATGCTCCTCCTCTTCCTCCTCCACCTCCTCCTCCCCCCTCCTCCTTCTCCTGCTCCTGATGCTCCTCCCCCCCTCCTCCTCCTTCTCTTCCTCCTCCTCCTCCTTCTCTTCCTCCTCCTCCTCCTCCTCCTCCTCCTCTTCCTCCTCCTCCTCCTTCTCTTCCTCTTCATCTTCTTTATCCTCCTCCTCTTCCTCCTCCTCCTCCTTCTCTTCCTCCTCCTCTTCCTCCTCCTCCTTCTCTTCCTCCTCCTCCTCTTCCTCCTCCTGCTCCCGATGTTCCTCCTCCTCCTGCTCCTCCCCATCCTCCTCCTCCTCCTCAATCCTAGGGATTGAACCCAGGGATGCTCTACCCCTGAGCCACATCCCCAGCTTGTTTTATTTTGAGACAGGGTCTCCTTAAGTTGCTGAGCCTGGCCTTGAATTTGCGATCCTCCTGCCTCAGCCTCTTGACAGCTGGGTTTCCGAGCCTGCTCCACCAGGCCTGGCTGAGAGGAGGACTTTGTAGTCTGCCATCCCCATCATTCCTGCAGAATTCAATCCCTAGGATTTTTCCCATTGGTCTGACACAGTGGCTGAAGTGGTATTTCTGCCTAACGCTTGATCTGAGGCTGCCCGGGGCAGTAGCATGGACATAGTGCATGGCGCCACACCTTCCCTTGTAGCTTTACAAACCTGTGGTGGTTTTTCTTTTATTTAGGTGTTGGGCATGGAACCCAGGGTCATGCACGCTAGGCGAGTGCTCTGCATTGAGCCGTACCCCCAGGTCTCTGATTTTGAATATGGGGGTAGGTTGTCATATGTGTTCAAAAACATGGGAATAAAGCCAGACTTTACAAGTATCCTTTATTTCCCACTATTTCAGACTGATGGATTTTGAATTCTTGTAAAATACCTCTGCTGTATGCCAAGCCTCTCCACATCCAAGAAGGAAACACATTTTCTATTTTTGTTTCCTTTTTTTAATAACCCGGGATTGAACTCAGGGACATTTATCCACTGAGCCCCACCCCCAGCCCTATTTTGTATTTTATTTAGAGACAGGGTCTCACTGAGTTGCTTAGCGCCTTGCTTTTGCTGAGGCTGGCTTTGAACTCACAATCCTCCTGCTTCAGCCTCCCCAGCCGCTGGGATGACAGGATGACAGGCGTGTGCCACCGCTGAAATTGCATTTCCTTCTGCCCAGAAATTCCCGAGCTGGTTGTAGAAGTGGCACTGATAGAACCCGAGGGCAGGGCCGGGTCTGACTGATTTCACAGTGAACCTTAGAACTTGGCGACCACAGGACACAGGACGGCAGAAATGATAACCCCAGAGCTGCTAGCTCCTTTGCATGACCCAGCGGTGCTGTCCGGGCCCCTGGTTCCCTCTGACCTGCCCCCAGCCTGGGTTTCTCAGCCTCTGCCCTGTTGGTCCTCCACCTGCAGGGACAGGTGACTTGTGGGCTCTGCCTTGTCGGATGAAGCCACATCCCTGGCCTCTACCTGCTGATGCCAATAGCATCTTCCCCCCAGAGGTTGTGACAGTCAAGAGTGTCCCCAGATATGGCCTGATGTGCCCTGGGGTGGGGAAAATCGTCCCCAGTCGGAACTGCTAGTGGAGGGGTCGGTACTTTATCAACCCAACCACACATCAGGCACTGGAGGCTCGTTTGAGGAAGGCTCGAGCCTCTCCCCTGGACCGGAGTCCCCTGTCAGATGGAGGAGGACAGGCTGAAGGGAGGGTGGAGGCGGGTGCCACATGCTTGGGGACAAGCCAGTCACTGGTTGTGCCGCTCAAGTATGCTTCCCCACACTCCTCCCCGCCCCCCTCTCCCCTGCCGGCCTTGGGCACCCTCTCTTTCCCCTGTGTCCCCCGCCCCTCCACCACCTTGGCCTTGGGCTCCTCCTGCAGATCTCCCCAGGGAGCGGTGGTTGTGGGACCTCGGGATGGCTGGACACCGTGGCAGCCGCGGGGCCCCACGTGGCCTCTGTCACACCCCTGGGCTCTGCTTTTGTAGCAGGACAGCAGACAATTCCTAGTGACCAGCGTGGCCCAGCGTGGCCCAGCGTGGCCGGGCCCCTGCAGCCCTGCATTTACCGGCACAGACATGAGAATTTCATGTGCTTTCCCGATGTTAATTTTTTAACATCTTTTAATTTTTTTAACCATTTAAAACTGCGAAAGGCAGTCACAGCTGGTGGCATGGTCACTAACCGCTGATCCTGTCAGCCAGGACATGTGCATCTCATCGGCCAGGAAGTTTTGTCCCCAGGGCCCCAGAGGGCATTTGACAATGTGTGGAGATGGATTAGTTGTCACAACGGAGGGATGAGCTCCTGGCATCCAGGCAGTAGAGTGGGAAGGCCACCAAGCCTCCTCCTGTGCGCAGGACGGCTCCCTGGTGAGGGACTGTCAGCCATGCGGGGTTGAGCAGCTGGTAGCGGCTCAGCTGGTGCCTGACTCACAAGGACACTGACGGAGGGGCTGACTGGTTTTAACAGCAGGACATACCAAGACCCCGAGGGCAGGGTCAGGAAATCGAGGGAGAGACCACGGTAAGACAGAGGGGCCTGGAGGCTGCCTGCCTGAGAGGACCTGGATCCTCACCGTAAGGAGGAGCTGTTCATTCTGTGCATAGTGATGGGACATAACCTAGACTGTATCTCTGATCTCTCTGTCTGTCTGTCTATGCACCTGAATGTAATCCACACTCATGGGAAGGCGGTTTGCTTCCCGTGGATACAGGAGCAGTGGTGTTGTTGATCCGGGGATTCTGAACTCTGTGCTCATCAGAGTACACATACTTAAGGAGCACCTACTAAGTGCCAGGTGCCATGCTAGGTGCTGGGGATAGAGTGCTCAGCAAAGCAGGCCCCGGGCAGGATTGTCACGGAGCCTGCTGTGTGCTAGGCACAGAGGCCACAACCACAAATCCCACATATTCTTGAGCTTTAAAGAGCTTGCGGTGTAGAGGGGGAGACGGACATTGAACTACTGTACCACTGAGGAGGATGAGGTATGGAAAGAAGGGGTGTCCTGAGCAGGAGGACGGGGAGCCTGACCTACTGAGTATGACCTACTGAGGTGGAGGACCAGGTCAGATGTGGCTCTGTAGAGTCACTTTACTGGGTGCAGAGTAGCCGTCACGTGGATGTCATTGTGATAAAGTGCACATCCCATAAAACTGACCACTTAAATCACCGACAGTGCCTAATTCTGTGACGCTAAGTGCGTTGAGAGTGTTGTGCAGCCGTCGTGGTTGTCCACTCCCAGAAATGGTTTCTCCAACCTAGTGGAAAACTGTACCTTTTAAACAGCCATATCCTGTTCCCCACTCCCCAATCCTGGGCATCTGGGAACCTGCTTTCTGTGTCTATAAATCTGCCAGTTCTAAACATTCCATGTAAATGGAAACATACAGCAAGTGGCCTTTTGTGTTTGGAGTCATTTCAAGTTCTATCAGGTATCATTACTTCATTTTTTCATGGCTGAGTAATATTCCACAACATAGAGACAGACTACTTTTTGCTTATCTGTTTTTCCATTCATGCACATTTGGGTTGTTTCCATCTTTTGGCTTTGAATAATGCTACTATGCACATTCAGAGTGAGTTTTTTATGTGAGAACCCTCTTTTCATTTATTCCGGGATCGTAGGTAGAAGTGGAATTCCGGGTCCTATGATAAGTCTGTGTTTGACATTTGGAGGAACCGCCAACTGTCTCCCATAGGGGCCGTGCCCAGCAGCTGATCACGAGGACCCTCTGCTGGAGCCCTCCTGGATGCGGATGCCGAGGTCTGACGCTGTTGCTGCTGTCATTGTCATGGTCATTTTTTTTTTTTTTTAATGCAGGGACATTCAGGAGACCCAGATGAAGTACCTGTCTGAGTGGGATCAGTGGAAGCAGTACAGCAGCAAGTCTTGGAAGCGGTTCCTCGAGAAGGCGCGCGAGATGACCACCCACCTGGAGCTGTGGCGCAAGGACATCCGCAGCATAGAAGGTACCTGGACCTGGCTCCGCACAGTCGGTCCCGCTGCAGGCGCCGGCCGACAGGGAGCTTTTCCTCCTGCGACAGACGTGAGCAGCAAGCCACGCTTGGGCTTAGCAGGGCCAGTGGCACCGGGAGAAGCACAGGGGCCCTGCTCCGGAGTCGCCTGGGTATCTGCTGTGCTAATGGAGATGCTCAGGATGTTCCTCTTATTCCAGCCCAGATGTGTCGCTTGGTGTCACCGAACTGCGTGTCTGCATTTTTATACATTTATAAGCAGTATCGAGGGACAGGGGTCAGAGGCAGTGCCACCCCACCACAGCTGCCGGTGGCTATGGCAACACTAGGAATCGCAGCTTCCCCATGATGGGGAGAATAGGGGGCACAGGTTATAGTCACAGGATACCATAGACGGGGGCTTCATAGAAATGAATTTCGAGCTGGGCGCTGTGGCACACACCTGTAATTCCAGTGGCTTTGGAGGCTGAGACAGAAGGATAGGAAGTTTGAGGCCAGTCTCAGCAACTTAGTGAGACCCTGTCTTAAATGAATGAGTGAGTGAGTGAATGAATGAATGAATGAATACAAATAAAGACAAAGGAAGAAAGAGGAATGTTTTTCTTTAGAGTTCTAGAAGCTGGACAAGCCTTGCTAAGTGCCCATCTGACTCTGTGAGTGTTAAGAGGCTGGGAGACCCTGGAAGGGACCAGCAGGAGCCCCCTGGTGTGTCTCTCCTTACAAGGGCACTGATCCCATCACGAGGCCCCGCCCTCATGACCTCATCCTTAATCACCTCCCCAAGACCCACCTCCAACACCATCACCTTGAGAGGCTGGGGTTCCAGTATACGGAATTTGGAAGGTGGGGATAATATGGGAATATTCAGTGCACAAAAATGAGAAGTTATGCCAAAATATGAAATCAGAAATATTCAATATCTGGGTGACTTAGGCAAGTTGTGGAGGTGAGGCCTCTTAGGGTTACATAGTTTCCACCAAAACCCACAAGGATGTACAAGCACCAGCTCACACTGCTAAGGCGGAAACTTTGTAAAGGTGTTCATAAGAAATGTGGCAGGGTAAGTATGGAAGAATGGATCGCTTCCATTATTCCTATTAAAAAATATAACAATTGGTGACCTTTTACCTTTGGTAATATATTACCTTTCATTGATCGATTGATTGATTTTTGTACTGGGATAGAACCCAGGGATAGAACCCTAGCCCTTTTTTATTTTTCATTTTGAGACAGAGTCTCACCGAGTTGCTTAGGGCCTCATTAAGTTGCTGAGGCTGGCCTCAGATTTGTGATCCTCCTGCCTCCGCCTCCCATGTTGCTGGGATTACAGGTGTGAGCCTAAAGGGGCTTCATAGGTTCCCTTAAAACTTTAACCACACACTCTGTACTTTTTTCTCTTGAGACTTAAGCATCGTTTGTTTGGAATGTGGTCATAGAAGCTAGTCTTTGTTCGTCTTTATGAACCAGGTGTTGTGTTACACGTTTACTCATCTGATCTCAGTGCTCACAGTCACCCTTCATAGAGGTATGCATCACTTGCTTGGCTCAGAGGAGTTAAGGTACTTGTGCCAACTCGCTCAGCCTGGCTGAGACAGGCTGGGCTTTGGGCTCTGCAGTCAGACTTCAGACAGCCTGGCGTTAGCTCGGTCAGGAAATGACGTGTGTGCTAGAGGGTAGCTTCTCCCTGGGGACTGGGACTTTGATTTTCTCCTGTTGCTCTTCTTCTCCTGACGTTCCTTGGCTGGGTGCTCCTTTGGCAGGGATCGAAGGTATCACTCATTTCCTCTGACAAGGTCGCTGGGCGTGGGAGGCAGAGCTTGTGTCATGTACCTTTAGTCTCCTGAGGTAAGTTCTTCGCCCCCACCAAGAACCAGCATGCTCACTCCAGATGCTTCTCACCCTGCTCAGCCTTTTACCTGGTAGGAGACTCAGTCAGTGTGATTGACGGCAGGAAGAAAGAAGAAAATCATGCTCTTTGCAACAGAGGCAGGAAAAGCATCCATCAAACCTCACTTCTCATTCTAACCAAATGAGAACTAGATGAAACCTTTCATAATCTGGTTTTTTAAACTCTATGGGAATTCGACAGCAGATACCAGATTTAATGAAATATCAAAAAACTTGTGCCGCAGTCTGGCTGGGCACAAATGCCGCAGTCTGGCTGGGCACACAATCACGAGCCACCACACAGCTTGTAGATTCAAACAGCAACTCTTTATTCCCGAACTCACACCAGCCGTCTACAATCACGTTCTGGGGAAATCCACGTTCTCTTCCCAAATCCCCCTTCTCTCCCAAATTCACCTCCACTGGGCTTCTATCTCCAAAATATACTGTCTGAATCCCGTGAGAACTCAAGGGGAACTCAGGCAGCAGGATACGCCCTATTCCCAGCAGGAATAATCTTAAACCTTAAACCTGGAACCTAAACTGGGAACGCCCTAAACACGATTATCTTAAAACCGGGAACACCCTAATCTGCCTTGGTCCTTGAGCAAGGTCACGACATTCAATGTCACTGCAACATGGGGTACGCTGGCAAGGAAATTGTCATACCTACTTGGCTAATGGCTCCCAGCATCTCCCCCCTTCGGATTAATTAAAACAAGCAATGTGGCTTAAGGACCGTGCCTGGTAGGTTGTCCAATTCAACATATGGTTCTTACCCGTCATCGGAAAACTGACCTTTAGGCGTCAGCCTCCTGTCTTAGGTTGATACCACTGCAATTGGATCATACCCGTCACTGACTACCGGTCCAGCATAAGCCATTGGCCCCCAAATTTTAGACCATCACTAGCAGAAGGGAGGAGGATACAGAAATGCCACGACACCAAGCCAATTGACGGCTCCTTGGGAAAAATTGCATCACTGGTGACACCATCAGCAAAGATATGTCAGCACTACCACAATTAACATGGGGTGCGCTGGCAAGGAAATAAAAATTGCATCACTGGTTAATCACTGTCGCAGATGTAAGAATGGCCAAGCTGGAGTTCTGGATATCAGCTGTTATGGATTTGAGTCAAATCATCTTCTTTTCGATCTATAGAAATTGTTTTAGTTGCTTATTTTCTCTCCTAGTTTTCTTGTTTCCTATTTTGTGGGTTTAAAATTTTTGTCTTTCTACATCTTTTTAATCTTCCTATATCTTTTTTATCTTTCTACATCTTCTCTCTTTTTTTTTACCTTTCTGTACTTCTGTTTTTAAAGTTTTTCACTTTAAATTTTTAATCTTTTTTATCTAAATATCTTTTATCCTATTATCTTCCCATTTTTTTAAAGTAATGCCTTTAAGATTAAGCTGCTTTCCTCCATCATGAAGGCATTTTAACCACCTTCAATTTAACCTTTTAAAGCCTTTTAATTATCATCTATACTGTATTTTTAAATGTACTTTTTCACCACCTACAGCTTCACTCTTTTAAACGAGGCTTAGATTTTGTTTAAATCGCTTCAATGTTAGTTTACATGGCTGCCTTTCAACCAAAGGCTTTTTTTTTAACTCCATTGAGAAGCTTTGTCTCAATCTGCCATGTACAAATATCTTTTTCTTCTTTCTTCCTTTCTCAAGCTTTTAAATTAAGTCTAGTTTCCTCAAATTCTTTTTAAATGTCATTTTACAACTTTTTACTTTACCACACAGATTATATCATCTAGAATCATTTCTTTTTCCTTTAACCTTTTATATTAAAATATATTTCCACATCTTGAATCTTTTTCTCTCTTTTTTAACCATTAACCCTTTTTATAAATTCACATTTTGAAACAACTCTTATAAAATTTCTGATTTAGACAAATTACTCCACTTTAATAAGATGAAAGACTTTCATGTTTCTTATGACACTATAATACTATAATTGAAACCCAACTGAAAATTTTTCTACTCTTTGTATATAAATTACACATGATAGAATCTTAACACTTAGTAACCTTGTTTTAGCAAAGACACAGACACAAAGCAATATTAAACATTTTTCCATTTACCAATTTATGAAAACACACATAATGTTTAAATATATTACCTTATGGAACTTAATAAGTAAAGAGTACTTGATTTCATATTTAGTGGTTGATATTTTAACACTTTAGCTTTGTAAATTAATCAGATGTCTGTAAAAACTAAGATCTTAGACAAGTGTAGTAAACAGAACTAGCCATCTCTTTCTTGTTGAAGAAAAATCCTTCTACAGGATACCATGATGGTCTCATTAATATACTTAATAACTCATCTTTAAAAAGCCATTGGCTACATTTTTGCATTGTATCAACATATGCCCTAACTGTTGTTGGTCTTACTGGGGTGCCTCCTTCCTCTAACAATTTCTCTTCCTCGGAGGCGAACAACTTCAAACCTTGAGTCAACCATTTTCCCCAGTTTGCCTGAGAAAGTTCTAGGAACAGGCAATTTGAAATAAAAACAAAATAAATCAAAACAATAACACATTGTTTTTTGAAATGTTCACCCATTCTTTCTCTCTTCCTCAAGGGTGAGAAATTTCACTTACCTCTAAGCTTCAGAAGTTCCCCGTACGGGCCACCAAATGCCACAGTCTGGCTGGGCACAAATGCCGCAGTCTGGCTGGGCACACAATCACGAGCCACCACACAGCTTGTAGATTCAAACAGCAACTCTTTATTCCCGAACTCACACCAGCCGTCTACAATCACGTTCTGGGGAAATCCACGTTCTCTTCCCAAATCCCCCTTCTCTCCCAAATTCACCTCCACTGGGCTTCTATCTCCAAAATATACTGTCTGAATCCCGTGAGAACTCAAGGGGAACTCAGGCAGCAGGATACGCCCTATTCCCAGCAGGAATAATCTTAAACCTTAAACCTGGAACCTAAACTGGGAACGCCCTAAACACGATTATCTTAAAACCGGGAACACCCTAATCTGCCTTGGTCCTTGAGCAAGGTCACGACATTCAATGTCACTGCAACATGGGGTACGCTGGCAAGGAAATTGTCATACCTACTTGGCTAATGGCTCCCAGCAAACTTGCCCCCTTGAGATTGAGAATGAAGGAAAGGTGCTCATGATCCCAGATTCTACTCGGCCTCATCCACGATGTCCTGCCTGGTTCAACACAATGGGGTTCAAAGGGATAATAATTGGAAAAGAAGAAATAAAACACCATCCTTTTTTGGCAGATGACATGGTATGGATATAGAAAGTAAGAAAGCAATTATCAGACTTAACCCTCATTAGCCTTGACCTGTGAATTTAGCAAGATTGTTAATTTAACATGCTTTGTATATAAAATCAGTTGTATCAATTAATTATATTAAATTGCATTTCTAGATACCAGCAAAAATATTTAGAAAATGAATTTTAGTGATATAATTTATAATAGCACCCAAAGTCATATCTATAAACATATCTAAAGAAAGGAGTATAATAATTATGTGCAGAAAATGATAAAATATTATTGAGAGAAACTAAAGAAAACCTATATACCATGTTCATGGAGCAGACGATTCCATATTACCACTTCTCCTCATGTCATCTCAGCAGTGTGTGGGAGTGTGAGTGTGAGTGTGTGTGTGTGGAAATGAATAAAGGAGAGAAACTATGATCATCCCAGCAGGTGAAAAGAAAGCATTGATCTAAAATCTATATTGAAATGCAAAATGTCAAGGATACAGTCCTAGGGCTGTCATAAGGAAGAACTAGCTGAAAGATGCCCCATTCCACATGCAGAGTCTTACTATAAATGTGCCATAATTAAGACAGTCTGGTATTTGAGGTAAGGATAGACCCGTGGAACAGGACAGAGTTCAGAAAAATGTACGTGCATATATAGTGAACGGATTTCCAAAAGTGGGGGGATCCGTCGGTGCTGTTGAGTCATCCAGATATTCACATAGGAAATGACAGGGGGCCCTTCCCCATCTTTACAGGGTTCTCAAGTGTTTGGTTCAAGGTTGGGAGTAGGTCTGTATGTGAGTAATGCAAACACTGGAAATTAGAACTTGAAAGGCAGCAGGAGAATAAGACATTCTTTCCCTCTGCGCCCCGCCAAGACTCCTCCATCTTCAGCTTTGTCTGGCTGATTGAATCTCCTGTGTGTAGTAGGACAATACTCCTGATGAATGGTGTCCAAATTTCTCTTTTTTTTCTTTTCCCCAGGGAAATTTGGCACTGGAATTCAGTCCTATTTTTCCTTCCTGCGGTTCCTGGTGTTGCTGAATTTGGTGATATTTCTGATCATCTTTATGTTGGTCCTGCTCCCTATCTTGTTGACCAAATACAAAATCACCAACAGCACCTTTGTGCTCATTCCATTAAAAGATATGGGTGAGTTTGAGGCCTGGTTTACTAGTTTACTGGTTTACTCTTTTCACTGTGAACTCACTACAGAGCTTCCTATATGAGGAATCTTCATTCTGAGTCTTAGGTGACTGTATTTAGTCAGGATGAGTGAGATTGTGCTGCAGAAACAAATGACCCCATAACCCTCAGTGCCTAATAACTCCAAAGGTTTATTTCTCACTCACATTCCTTCTCTATCATGGGTTGGTGGTCTACACTCTGGAGCCCAAGCTGATGGGGCTGCCACTCTCTGGCCATAGTCACTGTGGCTCAGGGGGAAAGTACTGGCTCCTGATGCTTCTGCTTGGAGATGCCACGTGGCCTTATTTCTGCCATATCTCTTTGGACAAAGCAAGACACTCAGCCACTTCAGAATTCATCAGAGCATTTGGGAGGAGCAGTGCAGGGTAGGAAAGTGGAAATGTTTAGCAAACATAATGTAACGCCCTCCTCCAGGACTTTGAGGTTTTAATCTCTGTTAAGGGTGATGCTCAGGGTCTTCATTCCTTGAACAAATATTCATGGAGCACTGACTGGCATGTGCTGGATGAGAGCCAGCCACTGGGACTTCAGCAGACAGTTCCTGTCTTCATCCACAGCGTCTGTGTGCTCTGGCAGTAGATGAGCTTTGTGAAATTACAGCACACGATGAACTATGTAACATGAATTTGGCCCTGGCAGGGGCAAAGAGGGTGCTGCTAGGTTGAACACCGGGTCCCTGGAGGCTGAAGGATCCCCAGATCCCTCTCTGAAGGCAGAGCCTCTAAGCAGAGCCTGGGGGATGGGGTGAGGAGGAGGCAGCTATTGAAGGACAGGGAGAACTTCTAGGTTAAGGAATGGGTTCTGCCAAGGCTCAGAGCCGGAAAATGAGCCTGCGTCTCAGAGGGGCTGGAAGCCTGGCATGCCGGCTGGCAATCCTGCACAGGGCAGGGCTGGCTGGGAAGCAGCTTAGACGTCATCTGTGTCTGGCTTTCTTTCTTTTTTGTTTTGTAAGCTGACTGTCTGTTGAACCCTGCCCTGGCGCCTTAGGTATAGGTAATGAGTGGGCGTGGCCAGGTTCCAGTAATACCTTATTAACAACCCAGGGGCAGCCGGCTGCACTTGGCCACCGACTTCTGGGCTGGAGGATGGTGAGGAAGGAGAGCAGGCCTGACTCAGAAGAGAGAGATGGCGTCTCCTCTGTCTACCTTCCTGGGCTCATGCAGCCTTTTGAGCACCTTATCTTCACCCAACTGCTGCTAGTCTTTCTCTGCCATTGGTGGTGAGCTTTCCAAGGGCAGGAAACACCTCTGATTTATGTTTTTATCCCCAACATCCATCTAGGGCATAGTGGTGAAGAAATGTTTGTTGAATGAATACACAGACACACTCATGTTAGAATTAAAAGATGGTAGAGCTGGGATTGGTTTTGGGGGAACTGATTCAACACCTTTATTTGATTTATTTATTGGTTCTGAGGATTGAACCCAGGGGTCTTAACCACTGAGCCACATCCCCAGGTCCCTTTTAAAATATTTTACTTAGAGACAGGGTTTCACTGAGTTGTTTAGGGCCTCGCTGTTGCTGAGGCTGACTTTGACTCTCTGCTCCTCCTGCCTCAGCCTCCCCAGCCACTGGGATTGCAGGCGTGCGCCACTGCACCCGGTAATGGGGAAACCAAAGCCGTCCAAAAGAGGGTGGTAGATTGAGTTCTTTTCCTGAATTTGTCACTTTCCTGTAAGTGTGACTTTAGGGTGACTCCCACTGTGGGTAGTGAATTCTCCTCATCTCATGGTTACTGACCCTTGCTGCATGACTCATTTTGTCTAGCAAAGTGCTGACTTGAAATGCCCTCTTGTTGTCCCTGTGACATACTATAGAAGAGCATGCCCCAGGTACACGTTGCCTCTTCAGCCCAGGCTCCAGAGTGAGGTTCTGTGGAATAGACCCAAGCCCAACAAACGTTCAGCCTAAATCAGCTGAATGAACTGCAGCTGCAAGCCCACGAGTGAGACGACAAACTTTTGACTTTTTTGGTCACTGAGACTGCGAGATCATTTGTTACGCAGTGGTAGCTGATACATGCATCAGGGGAGGGAGGGAGTGGTCCGAGCATACGGTAGTATCACTAAAACCGGTGCTAGGATTGTGTTCAATAATTACAGATATGTAAATATATGCATTTTTAATGAAACCGAAGGGATGATACAGATGTAAAAGATCTTATATATCAGCTGTGCTTCAAATGGGATAACAGTTCTGTCAATCACATATCTCAAAGCACGTACAAACATGAACACAGAAGCACGAGACACACAAGCAGAAAGTGTTCTGAATGTGAACTCAGTACAAAATGCACAGAAAAGATATATGGCCTCCATGTCCAGGAAGAATTATGAAGGAACTGCTAGAAAGAGAAGCAGAAGAAAAATAGAAATAAAGATAAATGTTATCGTATTTAGATGCTTTGGGTTTGGAAACAAAAAATCAGAAAGGTATGCACACATGCATGCCCAGATATGCAGATCTCTGAGACACATGTAAATGTGCATAGTTATGTGCTGATGCACACAAATTGCCACAGAGGAAGGAGTCCCAGAGACCGCAGACTGTCGCCAACCGACCTTCTTGCTTTTGTGTCTTGCAGATATCCAGTGCACCATATACCCCATAAGTAGTTCTGGACTTACTTACTTTTACAGTTACATCATAGACTTGCTTTCTGGCACTGTAAGTATTTAACCCAACCTTCTTTTGGACCCTTGTAAGTGCTAGAAGGGGGTTGACGCAAAGCTCGGTTTCCTGCATGTCCACGGTGAGAGCCAAACACCAGTGTGGACGCCTCACCCGGTGAAAGAAGCAGGATGCGTGGTGACCTGCTGGGACCCACGGGAAATGCGTTTTGTGGCTCTCAGCGGTGTCCTTTTCCCCTTGTCCCTGACACCTTCATATTGACCCACAGCAAGAGGCTGAGTTTGCCCACAGAAAGAAGGTTCAGAGACAATGGAGCTGGAGAGAGTCGATTGATCCCTCTGACCCTGAAAAGTTTAGGGCGTGGCTGAGGCTGAGGCCCCTGTACCCAGAAGCCCAAGATGGAGACGTGCGATTCAAAGACTCAGAGCACACGTGGCCACCTGCCCGTCACAGGCACACACACACGGTGCACACGTGTGGACAAACACAGTTCCCTGGAAATCCCTTAAATGTTTATCAATCCCAGGCTAATCCCTTGGCTCCAGATGAAATAAATCCTATATTTCCAGGCCCTGGGGAGTTTTGCCCCGTAGGATTCATGTAGTTGGGTAAGTTTTTTATGGTCTGTGTGCCAAGGCTTCGGGAGAGGAGAAGAGAATGTGTACTTTTGTTTCTATTAGAAGATTCACTTAATTACTTAGATAATGTGAGACTGCTGCATAGTTGTTGTGAAAAAGAATGTATACAGAGGGAAAGTGCCTCCCCCCGCCACCAGAGGGCAGCAGACCTTCCACACCATGGTTTGCCTCTCCCTGACCTTTATACACTTCATGGTCTTTTCTTTTTTGGTACCAGGGATTTAACCCAGGGGCACTTAACCACTGAGCCACATCCCCAGTCCTATTTTGTATTTTGTTTAGAGACAGGGCCTTGCTGAGTTGCTCAGGCTGGCTTTGAACTGAGGCTGGCTTTGAACTCGCGATCCTCCCACCTCAGCCTCCCGAGCTGCTGGGATTACCTGCTGTGCACCGCTGAGCACAGCCCACTTCATGGTCTTGCTTGCTGTTTCGTGGTGTGGATTTTTCACGTCCCCTGTTGATGGATATCAGGTCTGCTGCCTGCCCTGTTCCTACTTTCCTTGTGTGTGGCCTCTTCCCTTCCTTGGCATGTCCCTGCCACCCACGGAGCTGTCTGAGGTGTCCCTTCCTTCACACCATAAGAAGAATCTTCTGTGCTGTTTTTTACAAAGGATACCTTTGGGGTTGGAAAATAAATCCTTGTTTTATTTTTTTTGTTGTTGTTGCAGAGCTTTGCATGCTAATAAGCAAGGCCTCTACCACTGAGCTATACCCCCAAGCCTGTTTTTTTATTATTTTCTTAAGTTGCATTGAGATAACATCCACTTGCCCTATAATTCAGTCACTTCAAACATACAGTCGAATGGTTTTCGGTATGTTCAGAGGCATGCTATGATCACCACAGCCAATTTTAGAACCTTTTCATTATCTCAAAAGAAAGCCTATACCTCTTAGCTATTACCTCCCAGTCTCCAAATCTGCCCTGAGCAGTTGTTAATATACTTCTGTCTCAAAAATGCCTATTTTGGAATCTTCTCAGTGATAGAGTGTTTGCCTAGCATTTACAGAGTTCTGGGTTCAATCTCCAGAACTTAAAAAAAAAAAAAAATTACACAGAACAAAAAATAAACAGATGGAATCATATACTATGTGGCCTTCTGTGAACGGCTTCTGTCGCATTTTCAAGGTTCATGCAGGCTGCAGAGGTCAGTACCTTGTTCCTTTTCCTGGTGCAATATCCTGTTGGAGGATGTGTCTATGGAGGAAGTCTGCATGGTGTGCATCTGCTCAGGATGGATGTTGCAGTTGTTTCCATCTTTGATCTGCTATGCACAGTGCTGCCATCGTGTGGACATATGCCTTCATTCCTCTTGGGTAGATACCCAAGGAATGGAACCACTGGGTCCCATGGTATCCCTGGGTTTAGCATTTTGAGAAACTGCCCCTCCTCCAAGCTACCTACTTTACCTTGCATTCTTCCCAGCAGCTCATGAGCATTCCAGTTTCTCCATATCCTTATCAACACTTGTCTTTATCTGACCTTCTCATCCTAGCCATCTTAGATTGTGTGGAGTGGTATCTCTTTGTGGATTTTATTTGCATTTCCCTCATGACTAATAACACTGAGCATCCTTCCATGAGCTCAGTGGCCATTTCTGCATCTTTTTTTTTTTTTTTTTTGACAAGCATCTATTTGGATTCTTTGCTTGTTTTAAAATTGGATTATCTGTCTTTTGATTGTTGAGTTATGAGTTCTTTTTTTTTTAAACAATGTTCAAAGTGTATTTTTTTCTTAGTTGTAGATGGACACAGTACCTTTATTTTGTTTATTTATTATTTTTATGTGGTGCTGAGGATCGAACCCAGCGCTCCACACGTGTGAGGCAAGCGCTCTACCGCTGAGCCACAACTCCAGCCCCAAGTTATGAGTTCTTTATATATGCTAGGTACAACTCTTGAAGCATAAATGTTTTTAATTTTGCTGGTGAATTTTTAAAATTTATGTTTTTTTTCTTTTATTGCTTGTGCTTTGGGTGTCCTTAAGCATTTATTACTAAATCTAAGGCATGAGGATTTTTATTTTTATTGTGGTAAACACATAGCAGAAAACTCACCATCTTAATCACTTTTAAGTGTAAATGCAGAAGTGTCAAGGTTATCCACATTGTTGCACAACAGATCTCTACCAACTTTCTCATCTTGCAAATCTGAAATTCTATATTCATTAAACAATTGCCCCTTTGCCCTCCCCCCAAGTCCCTGGGATCTACCATTATACTTTGTGTGTCTGTGAATTTGACTACTCTAGAGACTTCATACGATCAGGAATCCTGCAGTCTTTGTCTTTTTGTGACTGGATTTTCTCACTGAGTATAATGTCCCTAAGGTTTGTGTGAGTTGTAGCATGTAGGACTTCCTGCCTTCCCAGGGCTGTCATATCGCATTTGCTATCATTTGTTCAGGGTTATGAAGATTCAGTTCTCTGTTGTCTTCTAAACACTTTATGGTTTGGGCTCTTTCCTTTGGTCCATCTTAAGCTAATCTTCATATGCAATGTGAGGTCGAGGTCCAACTTCATTCTTTTGCATGTGATTAGCTCATGGTCTCAGTGTGATTCATTGAAAAGATTGCTGTTTCCCCTTATCAAAAAAAAAATCAATTGGCTGTAGATATATTGGTTCATTTCTGGACTCTAGGTCTGTGCTGTTGATGAACATGTCTATTCTTATTGTCAGTGCTGCACCATCGTGGTCACTGTTGCTCTGTAGTAAGTTTGGAAGTGGGAACACATGAGTCCTCCAGTTTTGTTCTTTCTTTCCCAAGATTGTTCTGGGTGTCTTGCAGCCTCCTGGGTCTCTTGCAGCTTCCTGTAAACTGTAAGATCAACTTGTCAATTTCTACAGAGAAGCCAGCTGGGATTCTCACAGGGTTTGTGTTGTATCTGTAGATCCTTTTATAGAGTATTATCATGGATCTCCTGATCCATGAACATGGGATGTTTTCCTGTTTACTTTGATTTTTTTTCCCCCAACAATGATTTATAGTATTTAGAGTATAAGATTTGCACTTCCGTTATTTTTTTTCTTTTTTGGTGCTGTGGCACAAATTTATTTTGAATGATTTCACCCCATATTTTTATGCTTGGGTTTTGCCTTATTCCCCAGACACTAACTGAGGACCCCCTAGTCTCCTGGGGCTCTTCTGATGTCTAGGGATATAGACATGAACAAAGGCATGGTATGTGAGTTCCTTGAGTCAGAAACTACTCTTCTGGTTGCCTGCCCTGAGCTCACCAGGCCAACCTCATGTCCTTGACTTGATTTCAGGGTTTCTTGGAGGAGACCAGCCTCTTTTATGGACATTACACCATCCATGGTATAAAGTTCCAGAACTTCACCTATGATCTGCCCTTGGCTTACTTGATAAGCACAATTGCCTACCTGGCCCTGAGCCTCCTTTGGATCGTGAAAAGGTAAGTTTACTCTGTCACTGCCTTAAAAAAAAAAATAAAAATTACTGTTGGTGGCTGGAGTCTCTTAGGACTCTGTGGACTCTGGAAACTGTTGCCCAAAAGATGAGCAGAGTCCGGGTTGGGCTTTGTGGGGAAGCCCTGGAGGAAAAGGGAGTCAGGATTGGAGAGCTGGAGTTCTTCAGTCAGTTGTTACTGGGCATATCTGGCAATTCCACGTCCATTGCAAGTGGCGGAAATCCAACTCTGTCTCACTGGGACACAGGGGAATTGAGTGGCATCTTGGGAACCAAGGAGGGCAAGAAACGCATTTACAGGAAGGACAAAGACATAGCTATTGCTTAGGAACAGTAACAAAAACAAAGGCTCCCTCATCTTTGGGTCTCTTGTGTGGTGGCAGCTTGCTTAAGTGGCGAGAGAGAGGGTGTCTCAGTTTCCACTGTCCTCTGATGCCCTGGGTCACAGGTGTAGAGATTCTTTGAAGAGACTTGTTGGCCCTTTTTCATTTGGGTGCCGAATTGTAACCCTCCGTCGGTGGCCATTTGTAATCAGACTGTCTGCGACGGGCCACCATGGATTCAAGTGCCCAGGCTTCGGACCTGTCCACTGTGGCCAGGGGGACTGGTGTGAATTCCTTCAGTTATTCAGTCAACAACTGGCCCTCAAGGTATAATGGTCCCAACCCAATAGAGGTGTATTTCTGGAGCCGACATGAGACTTACTTAATTAGAGAATCTCAGGGTATGAAATCATTTAGGAACGTACATTTTGGGGAAAGCACCTCAAGTGGTTCTGATGCAAATTCTTTGCTGTGATCCTTTGGCAGAATGACCCACCCTGGTCATCCCTTCCATTTCTGTTGCTCTTTATGCCTCCCTAAGAAATCCTAAATGACAGGCATTTCATCTGCGAGGAAGGTGTGTGCTATTTGGCGTTTTTATATCATCAAGTGCCAAGGTGTATTTTTTCCCATGAAAGCATTTGATTGAATAACAATTATGAAATGTCCAACAGAACTTGCCTCTGGTTTAATCAGGTGCTCATTAAATATTTGCCTTATTGACTATTTGAATCATTCATTCATTCATCTATTGATCAGTTAGCTAAAGTATGGTCCTGGCGTGGTGGATATAAAGGCAGGACACCTGCCTTCAAGGAATTTAAAACTTACTCCGAGTAACGGACTGTAAACGATAAACAGATAAATAGGCAAATTGCAGATTAGGTTCATTGCTGTGATGTGGGGATCGAAATTTTAGATGGGGAGATTAGGAATCACAGGACATTTGAACTGAAATCTGAAGGATGATGTGTTAGTCAGTTTTCCCTTACTGTGAAAAAGAAAAAAAAAAATACCTGAGATAGGTAACTTAAATGGAGGAAAGGTTTGTTTTGGCTCATGGTTTTCAGAGTCTTTGGTCCATGGTTGTACGGCCCTGTTACTTGGAGTCTGTGGCAGTACAGGACATCACAGTGGGAGCACATGGTGGAGAGTGACCTAACCTCCTTCCGCTGGGCTCCACCTCTTCAAGGTTCTGCCTCCCAGTAGCTCCAGGGACTTGGGACCAAGCAGTACATGAGCTTCCAAGGGACACTCTAGATCCAAATCATGGATGATAGGAAGGAGTCAGCCATGGGAAGAGTTGGGAAGAACCCTGGAGAGAGTTCTGGGAACTTCTAAGAGCCAAGCTCCCGAGGCAAGAGGAGGAGGGATTCATGTGTTTATGGAAAGGAAAGGAAACCATTGCGGTTTTATAACAGAGTGGCCATGATCGGAGAGATTGTAGAACTAGATCATGTCACATCTATAGGCCGTTGCAGAAAGTTGGACTTGGGGGCTGGGGACGTAGCTCAGTTAGTAGAGTGCTTGCCTCGCATGCACAAGGCCCTGGGTTCAAACCCCAGCACCACAATAGAAAAAAAAAAAAGAGTTTAACTTTACTCGAAGTAGATGTATAAAAGTTACTAGATGATAGAATTTACTAGATGTATAAAAGAAGACTATTTTCAACAATGGTCTATGTGGTCAGCTGTGACATACGTTTAGAATGGTCCAAAACTTGACGTTATCAAAATGGGCCCCCAATACAGCCATGTCTAACTTCTTATTTCTCATTTTGGATGAAGCGCTTTATTCATGGGCCTGCATTTTGCTGCTGCTGTTATAGGAGGATTTTTGTGTTTGGGGGTCAGGTCGGTGGAAGGGTTCAAAATCAATCTGATTCGGAGTGAGGAGCACTTCCAGAGTTACTGCAACAAGATCTTTGCGGGCTGGGACTTCTGCATCACCAACCGCAGCATGGCGGACCTGAAACACAGCAGCTTGCGGTATGAGCTCCGAGTGAGTGCTGCTGGGTTTCCCTGGGGGGGTCCTCCTTAGCCAGGTCAGGCCTTGGGAGGCTGTTTGCAGCTTTTAGAAGATGCAGACAGGGCCCACCTGTCTCAGGTGCTTAGCCTGCTTCCCCTCTGTCATTACCAAGGCTCTTGGCAGCAAACGGCTCATCAGGGTTGATTACGTTCAACCCACACAGGGGTTCTGGTGAATGGGGGCTAGGAAGGGAGGCAGGGACCCAGTGGGTTTCTTCCCTAGTATCTGACCCTGTTATTTCCCCACTTGATGAAAACCTGACATCAATGTTACTTGTGCCAAGAAATGGGACGAAGGAGGGAATGCTCTAATGATAGGGTAGAGTGGAGAGATTATGAGAAAGTACAAGAGAATTTCCAAATTAAGAAGGAGAAAAGGAGTGATGAAGAATATTTTGGTAAAATCCACCCAAAAAAATGGAGGGTGGGACAAGCCAAAACCAAAAGCTCAATAAGGTAAGGGGAGCAGGAATAAAATCAAATGTATTATTTCTTACACTAAATATGAACACATCAAATTTTCCTGTTGAAATCAGAGACTACCAGATGGACCTAAAAAATAGCATCCACCTATGTGCTGTTTAAAGAAATGTGTGAGTAATGTCATTAATAAATTAATGGTTTAGTTTACATATTTATTGTAAAGCCTAATTTCTGTCTTACATAAAAGGCTCTACCTTGAATATAGGCCATTAATAGATATAAAATGTAGCTGGGCTTAGTCTGGGAAGGTGTCTTCGGGGCTGTGAATATTTAAAGGAAGTTGTAAATGGATGGGGAGGGTGTCACCGTATCCATTCCCTAATATCTCTGTGTCTCAGTGCTCACAAATGAGCTTTCTCTGGTCCTCAGGCGGATCTGGAGGAAGAAAGAATACGGCAGAAAATAGCTGAAAGGACCTCAGAAGAAACGATACGCATTTACTCTTTGAGACTGTTTTTGAACTGTATTGTTCTGGCTGTTTTAGCAGCATGCTTCTATGCCATCTACATAGCAACTATCTTCTCCCAAGAACACATGAAGAAGGTAAGGCCCCCCCCTCCACGAGAGTCGATTTAATGTGCACTCTGGGTGCCCTGGTGTGGGGCATTATGTGAAGTGCAAACCTGAGTGGTCGATGCCCACGTCATTTCTGCATACACACGGAGACTGAAGTTTGACTGATCGAGAACTGAAAATCAGAGGTGATCAGTGATCACTTTTAAGAGAAATTTTAGAAAGCATCTAAAGTTGTTTTCGAGATAACCCCATTCTTCCAGAAATTCACATTATGCAAATTCAGGCTGAACTGCTTGCATTTGATCCCTCATCTACTCACTATCTGGAGCCTCAGTTTACCTAAAATCGTGGCAGTTTTAAAAATCCAGTTGAACTGAGCATAGCGGCATGAATCTGTAATCCCACCTACACAGGAGGCTGAGGCAGGAGGATCTCAAGTTTGAGGTCAGTTTGGACAACATAGTAAGACCTTGTCTCAAAATAAGATTAAATTTAAAAGTCTGGGGTTGTAGCGAAGAGGCAGAACACTCCTGGGTTCCATCCCTTATTAACACACACACACACACACACACACAATCCAAGTTGGTCTAGCAGCTCTGCTTGGTGAAATCAATCATCAGGGCCCAGGGCCATCCACCTGGTGGCTCTACCATCCAGAGGGTGTGGTCCTCCTCTGCATGTTCAGATAGCGCCCCACCACATCCACAATCTAGCCAGAGGGAAGAGAGAGAAGGAGCTGGGGAGAGTGCACCTTCAGGGTCACTACCTGGAGTTGGACTTAAAATTTCCACTCCTCTTCCTTGGCCAGAGTTTAATCTCGTGGCTGCACCTAGCTTCAAGGACGCCTTAGCCATTTAGGTGGTTTTTGTTTGTTAGTTTGTTTGGTTCTGGAGATTGAACCCAGGGGTGCTTTCCCACTGAGCCACATCCCCAGCCTTTTTTTTATTGTTTATTTTGAGGCTGGCTTCAAACTTGCGATCCTCCTGCCTCAGCCTCTCGAGTCTCTGGGATGGCAGGCACGCACCAGTGCATCCTGCTGCAATTAAATCTTTGTCCTGGACCAGCTGCACCTGCACAGGTGGCCAAGTAACCTGTTACTAGGGAAGAAGGAGAAAGTACCTGTTACAATTCCAATCAGTACTGCATCCTTGAAAATATTTTAAATTCCCCGTTCATACAGAATACATGGATTTTTTTAAATCCTTAGCACGTCCAATAGCGCTCATTTTTCTTCTGGCATGGCACTAGGTATCTGAACACCACAGGAAGGAGATGGCTTGTGTTTACAGGCCGTGTCGAAGGGCAGGTCTCTTATGTTTGTGTGCCCAGTAGGCATAGTCGAGTTTTTTCAATTAACCATTTGCCATTTCTTTTATTATATTACTGACCAGTACGCTTGATCGTCTTTCTAGGAAATCGACAAGATGGTTTTTGGAGAGAACCTCTTGATATTGTACCTACCATCCATTGTGATCACGTTGGCCAATTTTATCACCCCCATCATCTTCGCCAAGATCATCCACTACGAGGATTACTCCCCAGGCTTTGAGATCCGGCTGACCATTCTTAGGTAATGCTGGTTGTGGGCATGCCGGCCAGGCCACCGACTTGCCGTGGCAGACGATGCCAATCGGTGGTGGTACATGTTCCTGCTGAGCTGGGTCCTCCTTAATCTTCATGAAGGAATGAACTTGTCCATGCAGTGAAACCTCTTTGACTTTAGAGTCTACCTATCAGTATTGTACTTTCGGTCCATGTGTTGTTTATTTTGACAGCTGAGGGGACAGGATGGGACCCTAGGAGGAGTCACTGCTGTGAATATCTCAGAATTGACAGTTTACATAAGGCAGAGTCCTTTGAGGTCACTCAAATGGTGTGTGTGTGGGGGGGGGGACAATGTGTGAAATGGGAGAATTTTCTTTCTCCTTCTCAAAATCCCTGAAATTGCATTTTCAATCTCAAAAAACTATATTTTGGACATTTTCAAACAGAATAAATGGTATCATGAGCGCCCCTCTGCCCGTCGGTCAGCTCCAGCCGTTCCCAACCGTTTGCCCATCTTGCTTCATCCATTTGCCTCACTTTTACTCAATTATTTTAAGCAAATATCCAACGACATGTCCTGTCCCCTCCCCTGTGAACACCTCAGCAGCCCTCCGGTGACGGGGACTGGTTTTAACATGAGCCCATTGTCACACCTCTTGGAATTGAGCTGCCCCCATGGAGCCGCAGGCGCCTGTTCACGTGGTCGGCTCTGCGCCTGCTGGTGGTTCCTTCTCACGGCTGTGCCCTCGACCTTGGGAGGATGGGGGGGGGGTCATCTGCACTGTGGAATGCCCCTGATGTCTGAATTTTGTTTGTCGCCTGGTCATGGTGAGCTCCGTGTGGCTTTCCGTGCCCAGAGAGGCTGTGAACTGCTGCACAGCCAGGTGCCACCAGGGTCCCATTGCAGGTTTGTTGGTGTTAGGAAAGTCCAGGAGCCAGGTGTTCCCACCTGATGCAAGTCATCTGCAGGCAGAGGTCAGGGGTGGGACCTGCTTAGGAAAGAGGGAGGTGAGCCAGCGAGGGTGTGGGGATGCTTTTTACCCCCTCCCCCATTTGAATATTTCCATTTAATTTAATTTAATTACAAACCAAATAGTAGAAAAGCATCCTAAAGAGAGAGAGAGGAGAGAGAGAGAGAGAGAGAGAGAGAGAGAGATGATTCTCCTCTCACCTCCCATGAATCCAACTCTTCCAGGAACCCATGGGGACGGCCCGTGTCCTTGTGCATTCTTTCCTATGGTTCCTGCAGTTTGTACCAACATTTATTTTTAACTTTGAAAAATAGGATCCTGTCCACGTGACACTCTATAGTTAGCTTTTTTCCACTTCCCTCTATGGGATGTCCCTCAGAGCCCGTACAGAAAGATTTGATTCCTCCTTTTCAGGAACGTGTAGTGTTCTGTTGTGTGACGGCCTCACCGGGAATCACGAGTTCCCAGCTTTCTCATCTTTTTAAAAATTTTTTGCCTTTTAAAAAAAGGATAGTAAATGATCGATGGCATCAAAGTTGCTGTTTTAGTGTCCACACTTCAATGGCTTTAAGTCCATTCCCATCATCATTGTTCATCTCCAGAACTTTTTCATCACCCCCAATAGAACCTCTGTGTCCATGTGCAGGTGGCCTGTGGCCGGGCCTGGTGGCACATGTCTGTAATCCCAACAACTTGGGAGGCTGAGGCAGGAGGATTGCAAGTTTGAAGGCAGCCTCAACAAACTAGCAAGACCCTGTCTCGAAATAAAAATAAAAAGAGCTGGGGATGTGGCTCAGTGGTAAAGCGCCCCTGGTTTAATCCCTGGTACCAAAACATAAATACATAAATAAAAGGTGGCCTCTGCCTTCTGTAACCCCAGGTCCTCTCAGCCTGCCCGCTCTGAGTTTCTCCTTGTCCCTTTTCCTTTCCTCCTCCGTGAAGGTGTGTCTTCATGCGACTGGCCACCATCTGTGTGCTGGTGTTCACCCTGGGCTCCAAGATCACGTCCTGTGATAACGACACCCTCTGTGAACTCTGTGGCTACAACCAGAAGCTCTACCCGGTGAGCCCTGGGGGTGGCAGCAACCTGCCCGGCGGGGGTGTCACTTGGCCATAGGGTCATGGTCAAGAGTGCAGCCGCAAAGTTGCTCCTCCCTCTAACTCTAGTCTCAAGGCAGGTCTGCACCTTGCCCCACACGTTCAGGGGCTTGATCACCCAGGTTTGTGCCGGAGCCTGTGGGCAGCAGGATCTTGAGGGGCAGGGTCCTGGGGGACTGCCTCCCTCTGCCCCAAGCAGGGTCACTCAGTGTCTCGTGCTCTCTGGTTTCAGTGCTGGGAGACCCAAGTCGGGCAGGAAATGTACAAGCTGATGATCTTCGACTTCATCATGATCTTGGCTGTGACCATCTTTATAGATTTCCCAAGAAAGTAAGTGAGGGGTCCCCTCCTACAGTTCGCCCCACGTGGGACACGTCCCTCACAGCTGCCCCCTAGAGGCCGCTGGGTGACTGCACGGCCCCAGGACCACTGAAAACCAGGCCCTTGCTAACTGCCCCATCTAAGGTGGCACTGAGGGCACTGAGGGTGGAAAGGTGCCGTTTTCTGAGTCTTCCCTGAGGGGCCTCCCTGCTTGCAGCTCCATCAGTGTAGACCCCCCAGGCTGCAGTGGAGGCGGGGTTTCCTGATGTGGATTCAAACCCCAGCTCTATTCACGTGACCCTGGGCAACTTACGCTTGCTGCCTGCTTCCCACCTGTGATACTGGGAGTGGAAGAAGGACCCCAGTGACAACCTTGCAGTGAGGGTTAAATGAGATAATACAGACAGAAGCCCTGAGAACCCACCACAACGTTCAGCATTGCCCTCGTGACTTTCATGACTGCGATGTCATTTTTATGGTCCTTAGTGTGGTCTTAAGTCAGGGGTGTCTTTGTTCACGGAACCACACGTGCATAAAATTCTGGCTTGGGCCAGAGGGGCCAGTGCGACCTTAAGAATAAACATTAAAAAAGAGAAACTTTGAAAAAAATATATGAATATAATAAATATGTACTTATTAAAAATTAAACAAGCTGGTTGCTGTGGCACTCGCCTGTCATCCCAGTAGCTCGGTGGGGGAGGCTGAGGCAGGAGGATCACGACGAGTTCAAAGGCAGCCTCAGCAAAGGGGGGTGCTGGGCAAGTCAGTGAGACCCTGTCTCTGAATAAAATACAAACAGGCCTGGGGATGTGGCCCAGGGGACGAGTGGCCCTGAATTCAATCCCTTCTTCCAAAATAAATAAACAATGAAATATAGTAGTCTAGAGAATATGGGAGTTTTTTAATGACTGTAACCCCTGCTTCCCCAATCTTACCCTCCCCTCAGAGGGTGGCCATACTTTGAGGGAGGATGGATCAGTTCTAATATGTGAAAACACAGATCTACTTAAGTGTGTGTGTAAATATATACAGCCTTTTTTTACTTCTTTTTCAGTAGTAAGGATTGAACCCAGGCCCGTGCATGCTAGGCACGTGCTCCCCACAGAGCTGAATCCCCAGCTTAGTCGCATAGTCTTATTGGAAGAAATAAGGAATCCCGTGTCACCCATATTGGCCTGCATCTTGCCCCCCACCTCCCAGCCCTCATACAAACAAAATATCATGAACGACATTGCCTGTCAATCATGTGGATTCTCTCATCCATTTTAGAGAATGTCCATTTCACTGCGTCCATGGCTTCTCATTTATAAGCCCAGCTCCCACTGGCGGGCATTGGTTGTTTCTGGTACTTTCGCTAATGCACAGCTGTGGTGCAGGGAGCAGCTGTGTGTGTTGATCTCAGGTCCTTGGGCCTCTGGTCTCTATAGGACGCCTCCAGGGTCCTGGGGAGTGGCGTTGCTAGCGGGGAGGGTCCTTTTGTGCAGAGGCTCAGCACTTTCTGTGCTGAGTTACAAGCCAGGGGACAGAGGCCCCTGTGTCATTCAGGTTCATCACAAGTATTTGTAGTATAATCCACCCCAAACTCCAGGTGAGAAAGATGAGGCTTGAAGAAATCCAGAAGCTTGTATTGATTTGGCTGCTAAATTGTGGACCTGACACTCGGAGCCTGGGCTTAAGTGATTCCGGAGTTCCCTCTCTCTGTATGTTTGACCCAGGCAAAGCAGTTTCTGTGCAGATGACCTTGATTTGGTGGGTGTGTTTCTGTGACCTTGGCAGACACCTGTAGCCAGGTGAGAAATTCTCCGGTTTGTTTCCAGGCTCCTGGTGACCTACTGCTCCTCTTGGAAGCTGATTCGGTGCTGGGGACAGCAGGAATTTGCCATTCCCGATAATGTCCTGGGGATCGTGTACGGGCAGACCATTTGCTGGATCGGAGCCTTTTTCTCACCCCTTCTTCCTGCAATTGCAACCTTGAAATTCATTATTATCTTTTACGTGAAAGAGGTAAGGGGAGGTGAGAGTAGGGGGCTCATACCCTGGACCATTCCCTTCTCCCCACCAGTGTCGGGGATGGAACCTAGGGCCTTGAACACACTAGGCAAATGCTCTACCAATGTGCTACATCCCTAGCCCCAAAATATTTACTTTTAGTATGTAGGAAAATTATATGAGCATGTAAAAAAATTTTAAGCAAAATAATTCTTAATTTGGTAGCTATTATTATAGACCCATTTATACAAATTTAAATTCCTATAAAGGATGAATCCTTTAAAAGCCTAAATGAGTTCATACCATGTAAAGTTCTGAAGTCTGCCATTTTTATTTCACAGTGCCTCCTGAATAACGTAATGTTCTCTCAACCTTTTTAAGGGCTGTATGGTATTTTGCTGTGTGGAGAATACCCACTGATAGATATTCAGGATGCTTCCAGTTGTTCTCTGTAATCAAGGGCAGCAGTCAGCCTCCACATACAGGTGTTTGGTCCATTTTTCTTATTTCATCACCATGAGATTCCTGAGGCTGGAGTCTGGATCAAACATTTTGCTTTATGATTTATATCTCCTCTAGAAAGCTGAGACTAATTTTCATGCCCACCGTAATGCGTAATGTGCTCACTGACTGTCTCGGATGCTGATTGCTCCTTAACTTTTGCTTTCCTTTTTTTCCCCCTTAGTTGAGTCTTCTTTATACCTGCAGACCCTCCCCACGGCAATTCAGAGCATCCAATTCCAATTTCTTCTTCCTGTTGGTGTTGTTGATTGGGCTGTGTTTGGCGATAATACCTCTGACGATCAGCATGTCCCGGTAAGTGTGACTTGGTTTTCTAGAACATTCCCTTGCTTTGTCGTTTGTGTTAAAGGGTCCCCTGCATTCTTTGTTGGCTCTTCTCACGGTGTCCACCTGCAGAGGTCAGTGAGTCCCCCTCTTGGCTTCTCCAGGGACCCACCTCCTCTCAGAACCTCCCTCTGGGCCCTGGAGGGTCTTGGTCCAATTCTGGAACTTGGCATGGAGCATGGGCATCATTTTTGTGAAGGCCAGTTGGGTCTTTCCTACCCTTTCCCAAGGACCTCTCTTCTGGTCCCCTTTTGGGTCACTTGTTTCTGATTGTCAAAGTAATGTGTGGTCATTGCAGAAGACCTGGCGGGTTGGGAGAGGCAGAGGGGAGCAGTAAGGTGCTCCCCCTCCTGCCAGGCTGGTTGAGGGAGGGGGTCTCACCCCTAGCGCACATTTACCACACACTCCTGCACGCCAGGTGTTGAGCTAGGTGCGAGGTTACGAAGACCTTAAGGACACAGGCGGAGGAGAATCTAGTGTGGAACTGGGGAGAGAAATGCTCTGGACTAAGGATCTGAAGCGAAGAGTTGGAACCTCGGTGATGTGGCTCTGTGTGTGGTGACCGCCTACACCAGAAGCCAGCAGACTTTCTAGAAAGGGCCAGGGAGTAAACAATCCAGGTTTTGCAGACCATATGTTCTCAGCAACTACTCTGCTGGATCATGATGGATCACATATAAACAAATAGGTATGCCTGGGTTCCAATAAAGCTTTATTTATAAAAACACACAAACAAACAAACAAAAAACAGGTGGCGGGCCAGATTTGGCCCATGGGCTATAGTTTGCCAATTCCTGCCTTCAGTGCTCACGGAATTCTGTTTCATCTCTTTAAATTAAAAGACTATAAAGCATGGGGTCCCTCTCTCAGATTTTTAAAAAGTTTTTTGTCAATTCAATTCTATATTTGCCTTAATTTTTGCATGACAGTCATATTATATTAAAACATTTAAACAGTGCAGAAGATACAACTTGGAGAGAAAAATTGCCACTTATTCTTTTAAATAAGATTTTAGCTTTGATTTTTTTTTTTTTATAATAAATGCATTCACATGGTACAGTATTTAAGCAGCGCAAAAGAATCTATGGTGGAATTCATTTTCTAACTCTGTTTCCAAGCTGATTTGTTTCCCTGGGAGACAGTCGTCCCTCTGTGACCACCGCCTCTTCTCTCTCTCTCTCTCTCTCGCTCAGTGATTCTCTAGTATCCAGTCCTATGAATGGACCATAAGTTGTTCATCCATTTTCTTAAATGGCAGTTGGGTTGTTTCCAGGCATTTATTTTTACCCGTGAAAACAGGGGCTGGGGCTGGGGCTCAGTGGTAGAGCGCTTGCCTTGCATACATGAGGCCTGGGTTTGATCCTCAGCACCACGAAAATAAATAAAAAAGTTAAAAAACAAAACAGGGCAGCAATGAACAATTTTACGTATACCCTCTGTGATATGAATGTGGGCCTTTCTTTCAGGTCTTCATTTGACTGTTTTTCCATTGTAATCTTAAAAATGTGTTCTTTTTAGATAGACGTGGAGTAGAGTGCATTTGACATTTCTTTTCTCCGCTTTTTGTTTTGAAAACTGTCAAATCTATGGAAAAGCTGAGAAAAATAGCAACAGGGAAATGCATATTCTTTTCAATGGAATGTCCCAGTTAACATTTTGCTGTATTTTTCCCTACATAATTTTTGTTTTTTAATGATGTATGATTTGAAGTGAAGTTATGATCACCATGCGATCTCACCACTAAAAGCTTCAGCATGTGAGTCCCCAAGAATAAGGACACTTTCCTTTACGTGTACACACAGTGACATTATTACACTTAATTAACTTAGTACTAATATTCCTGCCATTTTCAAAAAACTGTTCCAAAATTATCTTTTCTAGCTTTATTTTTAAAATACTGCTGGGTACGTATGGTGGTGCATGCCTCTAATCCCAGGAGCTTGGAGGCTGAGGCAGGAGGATCACAAGTTCAAAGCCAGCCTCAGCAAAAGCAAGGTGCTAAGCAACTCAGTGAGACCCTGTCTCTAAATAAAATACAAAATAGGGCTGGGGATGGGGCTCAGTGGTCGAGTGCCCCTGAGTTCAATTCCCAGTAACCCCCACCAAAAAAAAATTTGCTTTTAAAATACTGATCTTTCAAGTTTCACACATTGCTTTCAGTTGTTATGTCTGCTTTAACTTCGTCTTTGAATAGTTTAGACCATTTTCTTCAGAGTTGAGTTATAGGTTGGATAGTAGAATTCTGGACTTGTCTGGTTATTTTCCTACAAGACATTTCACTTGTTCTTCTTTCTTGAATATTCTTTAAACTGGCAGTTAGACCTAGAAACTTGATGAAAATTTTATGGTAAGCACTTTTGACCAGAATATTCCAGAAGGCCTGGGGATGAGGCACTTCCTCTGAGGCCTTGATTTACAAGACATTCTGGGTGTCCAGCAGTGGGACGCGGCCTGTCCTACAAGCCTGGCCCTGAGCCCTCTGGCTCATGTTCTGCAGCATCCCTTCCTCAAAAGCCTGTGGGCCGTTCACCAGCTTCAACACCACGTGGGATGTCGTCCCCCGGACGGTGAGCACCTTCCCCAGCTCGCTGCAGTCCCTGGTCCATGGCATCACGTCGGAAGCCTTTGCAGTGCCTTTCTTCATGATCATCTGGTGAGTGAGAACCGCCCCGACCCTGGAGAGTTCTCTCCCACTGAAACGCGTGGCTCCCCCACTGGGAAATGGAAGGTGTGTTAGTCAGCTCTCCATTCCTGGGACAAAATGCCTGAGGTAATCAACTTAAAAAGGAGGAAAGGTTCATTTTGTCTCATAGTTTCAGTCCATGGTGACTTGGCCCTGTTGCTTTGGTCCTGCGGTGGCCCAGTACATCAGGCCGAAGCATGTGACAGAGGAAGTCAGTTGACCTCGTGATGACTGGGAAGCAAAAGAAAAGAAGGGGCGGGCGTCCCCTGACCTGTCCTCTTGCCTTGCAGCCTCGTCATGTTCTACTTCATCGCCCTGGCCGGAGCGCACAAACGGGTGGTTGTCCAGCTCCGAGAGCAGCTGTCCCTGGTGAGGAAGCTCAGGGCCCAAGGGCCATGCTGGTGGCACTAAACCAGGACCTGGTGTGGAAAGTTGCACTGCTCCCAGGGAGGGAGTGGACCTGCTGTGCTCCTGCTCACCACCACTGTCCCCAAACCCCGCCTGCGAGAAGCTGCTATAGCCGAAGGCAGACTTAAGGAGGCTTAGTCAGCTTTTTCACTGCTGTGACGAAAAGATCCGACCAGAACCATTATAGAGCAGGGAGGTTTACATGGGGGCTCATGGCTCATGGTTCCAGAAGTTTCAGTCTATAAGAGGCAGGCCCCATTCCTTGGGGCTCAAGGTGAGACAGGCCATCATGGCGGAAGAGTGTAGCAGAAGGAAGCAGCTCACATGGTGATCAGGAAGGAGAGAGAGAGAGAGAGAGAGAGAGAGAGAGAGAGAGAGAGAGATCTCTACTTGCCAGATACAAATAGACACCCCAAGGCCACGCCCCCAATTCCCACCTCCTCCAGCCACGCCCACCACCGTGGTCACTCTCAGTTGATCCCTATCAGGGGATTAATTCACTGATCAGGTTAAGACCCTCACAGCCCAGTCATTTCTCCTCTGAACCTTCGTGCACGGTCTCACACGTGAGCTTTTGGGGACACCTCATATCCAAACCACAACAGGAGGTGACACTGGAGCTGAGTCTTGAATGACAGACAGAGCCACTTATTGGAGGTGTCCTCATTAGGGAAGAGAGTAGGATGTGGGGATTCCAGCCAGGGAAGGAGCCAGGCGCTTCTGGGGCACAGGAGAAGGGTGTGTGGCGGCCAGAGGGTGCTAAATGATGGGGAGAAGCAAGAGGGTCCTGGGACGTCCACCAGAGTCCTAGCATAGCCTGGGGGACCTGGCAGGAAGGTTGGGTTTGTTCTGAGTGTGATGAGAAGCCATTGCAGAGTGTGAAGGAGAAGTCAGACGTGCATTTTTGGAAACTCACCAGCTGCTGGGTGAACACAGGACGGTGGTGAGGGACGCGAGGAGAAGAGACTGGATTGGAAGCCACTGTAGTAGCCCAGGGGTTGGGATCCTTGGCCCTGAATCTGAGAGGTGATTCAATAGGTAGAAAGCATCTTCGCTTTCAAGTATGTGAAATGTAACTTTCAAACTCATTTCTGGTTTTAGGAGAGTCGGGATAAGCGCTATCTGATCCAGAAGCTAACAGAAGCCCAGAAGGATGTGCGGAGCCATTAGGCTGAGCCTGGAGACACCGCGCTGCGTGCTTCTCAGCTGGTGACTGTCGCACCCACGGAGCCCCCCTGGGTTTTGAGCAGAAATTTTGAAATATATTTTTCTGGAATTTAGGCTTTTCCTGACGGGACTCTGTGCAGCTCCGGTGGCCTGGTTACAGAACCCAGCCTCTAATTAGGGCTTTTGGTGACGTGGTAAAAGCAGGTCAAGTGCCAGGTCTTCGCCTGTAGACCCAACAGCTCAGTGAGGACCCTACCTGAGAAACGAACTTCTTATGCCATTTAAGCCTTTACAACAAAATCCGAATGGGAGAGACATACTTTTTAAAAAGCTTATTGTGTTGTCTTTTGAAGTTAAGCAGAGGTCATCCATTTCTGAAACTGGGTTTCATTGGAACCCATGTCTAGAAACTGAAGAGGGTTCCTTAAAAAAAAGTAGTGTCCCTCTTGAATGGTCTGAAGAGAAATCCTTGAATCTTGATGTTTAGAATAGGTGGTGAGAACAGGGAGAGGATCATCATGATCTGCTACCTGCTAGCAGAAGGGAAGAAAAGTGGGTCCCTGCTTTGTGAATACATGAATAAGCAGTCCCTGAAGTGTCCCCATCAGTCCTCTCCAGGAGGGGCCTTGTGGCCTTGTTTTCTGAGCTATCTGGGTATTTCCTGCAGCCTTAAGTTATCACTCAGGGGAAAACCTCCTTCAGCCGACTCTCCTCTACAAGCCTCAGTTTCCATCTGGTCCTGAGTTCTGAGATTTGGCAAGAGGAACCTGTACCATCAAAAGTAGGAGGCTTGTTCATCTCAGTGTTCCACTGCCCTTCTTGCCCCAAGGTCCCCATTTCTGAAGGACACTTCACATTCCTGAGCCAGGCTGGAAAGAGCTGTTGAGTAACTGCAGCTGAGAGTTACATGCCTGAGTGTTCCAGGGTGGAGATCACAACTCAGCCAGTCCAACAGTCCAGTGAAAATATACCAAACCAGACTGGATCAGCCCTGGTTTTTAAGTACACATTTCCACATTTTCAAGAGCTATTGTTTGCTTTCCTGTGCTGAACATTTTTAAATGCATAGGCCTTTATTTTGCATTACACGAGCAGAATCTTTCTTAAGATTTCCGTTATGGTAACAGCAATTTCTGTTATGGTGAAGACCATATGCAATAAATACCTCATTTTAAATGTACCTGAAATTGATAACCCTGGACCTTTTAGTAGAAGGCCTAAGTTATTGCTTAATATAACCTGTTTTCATTTCATGTCTCAAAATCTTTTCTTAAAGTACTGTAATTTTGTAATAGACCGTTTTCTTCCTGCCATTATTTTTCTTCCTTTCTCTGGTTCCAAACCTTTCCTGGAATTTAAAGTTGGATACAGGTTTTGGAAAGCTGCTTCTAAGAATAATGTCCACCTACCCCCTCAACATCATCCCAGTACTCAAAACTGATTAGCTCCTTGCTCTGAGGGGGAAAGCAAGCTGTCGGAGCTTATAGATTTCTATACTCGTGTTCCTTTGTTGCAATCTTTTTTTCTTTCTTTTTGGGGATGGGGATCAAATCCAGGTCCTCACACATGCTAAGCACACACTCTTACCGAGCTACAACCCCAGCTCCAACTTAACCTTCTTCTTCCACAAAAGTCGTATTAACAGGAATATTTTTGTTCCTGTTGGACTGATGAGTTTTTCAAGTTTTGTTACAGTTGATGAGTTTCTAAATGTAACTGGCATCATGGCATTTTGAGAAACCGAAAGTTCATTCTAGCATTTCTGAAAAAACAAGTTTTAATTGTAAGCATTTCTGCATAGTGCCTCTGTGCCTCTGTGCCTCTGTATGTATTATGTCTCTGCCCGTACCAGGCTTCTAAAGAGAGTCGTGTGTGTGTGTGTGTGTGTGTGTGTGTGTGTGTTTAATAAAATGAAAATATATTGCTGTTTTCATTCCGTTTTAAAACTGATACTGAAACAAATAACAGTAGTTTTAGTTAAAATGCTGCTAATTTGCATACCTCTTACTTGAATGTTTTGATATGTTTTGATAAGTTTAATAATTCCAAGTGATGTCTGTATAATTTTTAAAGTACGGCTGTCTAACACATGTGCATTAAAACTACTGATTAAACAGCATCTTTAAGGTTTTAAGATGTAATTGTATATATTCGAACCCATGGAGGCTTCTCATTGGCAATCAAGTGATCATGAAAAACAAGTCTGTTGTTGCTCTTGGCCTTTTCTGAAAATTAGATGAAAGAACTGTTTAATGTAACCATCAGAGGAATGCTTTTAAGACTCCTTGGCTCTGTTGAAGCCTAGAAGTGTACTTGTGCTTTTTAAACTTATAACACATAAAATTATTTCAGGCATTCCTCATCCCACTTCCAGAGAAAACCACTGATAATATTCATTTTTATTCTTCCAGAAAATTGATACATTCTTGCAGGCATATACATGTGAGTGTATGTTGTGAAATACAGATTTCCAAACTTCTTTTTTCTCCTTAATAACATCTTGAAGACCTTTCCATGTAAGCAGTGACCTCATTCTTTTTTATGGCTGCGTAGCATTCCACTGCACCTGTGGATATTTAACTATGCAACCATTAATGGATGTCTGGATTGTTTCTGCCTCCCCCTCACCCTTTGCAAAACACTGGGAGCTAGAATTTTTAAAGCTCCTGCAAACATTTCTGTGTTGCCCCATTCTGTTGTTTTTCGTAAGGCCGACTTGCAGGTTCTTGCAATCATAAAATGTTATTATCCCAGCAAAGAAAAGAATCCAGTTAGGCAAGTCTTTAGTTTGCATCAACCCTTCAGTTGGCAAAGTGAATTCCTGCAGCTACACATCAGATTGCCGCTACCCACTTGTGTTAGGTATTGGAGAAGAAGGAATTAATGTCGCCAGGGTAGCAATACAAGGTCCAATTCTTAAGAAATGAGAACTTCTGAGCCTATCTCCTTTACGTAGTGTGTGACTTTGCTTACTTAGTTCTATTTTGTGTATTTTGTGTCTAATGTATGCAATGTGCTTGGGGCATGGATAGCTTTGCATCTTAAATACACATTTAAGAAGATGTGATTTTTTTTTTAAGAGAGAGAATCTTTTTTTTTTTTTTTTTTTTTTGTAGATGGACACAACACAATGCCTTTATATTTTTTTTTATGTGGTGCTGAGAATCGAACCCGGGTCCCGCCCGTGCTAAGTGAGCGCTCTACCGCTGAGCCACAATCCCAGCCCTCATCCTGTGATTTTGTACAATTGTCTTTTCTGCAATAAAGTATCCTTATTTTTTAAAAAATATTCTTTTTAGTAATAGATGGACACAATACCTTTATTTTATTTATTTATTTTTATGTGGTGCTGATCGAACCCAGTGCCTCACATGTGTTGGGCGAACACTCTACCATTGAGCCACAACCCAGCCCCCCCTTATTTTTAAAATAGAAAAACAATACAAAAATTGCTTTTAGATTTAATAATTGAATTAGGGAGTAATGTTTTTTATTTTTGAGATTTTGTTTTGTCACTTAAAAAAATGGAAACTACAGAGAAAATTTAAAATCATTCCTGAGTACCATGTATGGACACCCACTGCTAATCTTGGCAAAATTGCTTTTAGTATAGAAAGTTATGAAGAGAAGAAAACCGGAAATAAGGAAAGAAAGAAAAATTTAGTCTTCTCTCTTCTTTTTCACCAAAGAGTTGTGTTATCAAAAGTTCATTATCAACATTGCAGTGGGCTACATAATATAACAGCAGTCAGATGATTCAGTTTTTAACATTCCCTTAGCTCTTAATATCTTATTTCCAAATTATCCCAATAATAAATGACTGGAACATCATACATGTTTGTCAACACTTTTCTCCTTAAGAACAGAGACCTAGAGACGTTTAGCAAAGATATTGAACATGCTAAGGCATTTGGGAGCCAAATTTATATTTTCAGTAGCTTTATGTGAGACTGTTACATTGCATCATTATTAAGAACTTAAGATTCATCATAAGTTTGAATTAGTATATATAGTGTATTAATTTGAACACTGTAGACAACTAGCAATCTAAATTCAATTTTATAAGATCGGTTCATCTTAAAAATTTTTATAGTAAACTTGGGAAAACTATATAAAAAATCCAAGGGTGCAAAATCAAAGTTCCCCCTTCTGAAAGTCTCAACCTTCTGATGTTAACCAATATCAAACGTTGTATTTTATATTCTTCCAGATGTGCATCTTTGGTTCTTTTTCTGGCCTCATATAATACATCACTCATTTGAAAAGTTATATCTGTTGGGTAGATCTCCTACAAGTAGGACTGTCATCTTAGTGTATATATGCTTTCAGAAGTACATGTTGCAGGGCTGGGGTGTGGCTCAGAGATAGAGCACTCACCTAGACTAGGTTCAATCGTCAGCACCACATAAAAATAAAGAGGGCTGGGGATGTGGCTCAAGCGGTAACGCGCTCGCCTGGCATGCGCGGAGCGTTGGGTTCCATCCTCAGCACCAGATAAAAATAAAATAAAGATGTTGTGTCCACTGAAAGCTGAAAAATATTTAAAAATTCTCTCTCTAAATAAATAAATAAATGCACTTAAAACTAAAAAAAAAAAAAAAAAAAAAACATGTTGCAAATTTTCCCTCTTGAAAAAAAAAAGTTGCAACAGTATAAAGGCACAGCAATAAAGTGGGTACAAAGTACAATATATATTCTGTAGGAAATCTGAAAATTGAGGACTGGGAAGAAAGTTAAAGTGGGCTGTCGGGCCTACTGAAGGCAACACTATTGACCCCGTGGCCACCTGAGTTTCACTATGTAATTTCTACTGTGTGTGTTTTTGGTTTTCCGTTTTGTTTTGGTACTGGGCATTAAACCCAGGGGCGCTTTACCACTGAGCTATTTATTTTGGGACAGTCTTGCTAAGTTGCTGTGGGCCTCGCTAATAATTGCGGAGTCTGGCCTTGAAACTGGGATCTTCCTGCCTCGGCCCCCCTGGGATTACCGGGGTGCGCCACTGCACCCCACTAATTTCTAATTTTTAAGAGGAAGTAGGAAACAGAAAAATCTTCCACGGAGGTAAAGCAAAAGTTACAACGGCTATGTCAATAACCCTCCTGGTCGTCTTTCCCGGGAATTTCGATGAGAAACCTTGAGCCTGTCCAGACCTTTCTTAAGAGCAATTTAGCATTCTTATCGCCATAGCAACCCAAGGTTGCTTCTGAGTGATTGATAGGAACCGCATCCAATAGACTGGGTCCATTTGCACCTCTCAGCCAATCACGTGAAAGCGTGGGCCCGGGGCGCTTCCACTGGTACCAGGGCGAGTTGCGTCTTCTTTACGTCTGCCTACATCATCACTCCGCGCCAAGAGCAAAACTGACCCGCAGAGCTAAAGAGCGTCTGCTTTGTGAGCCGGGAGATGAGTTGCGCCGGGGCGGCGGCAGCTCCCTTCCTATGGCGGCTGCGCTTGGGCGCCCGGCGGCCTCTCTCAGGTAAAGCGGGGACGCGCGGCCGCAATATTGCCTTGGGTCAACGGGCCGGGGAAAGCTTCAGGTTCGGGTCGGAGAGGTCACGGGGAAGACGTTCTTATACGTCACAGGTACGCGACGGTGCGAGACTGCGTGACGTCATCCGGCGGGCGGGGTTTGTAGTACCCCGCGAGAGTGACAGGTGGATTTCGGAGGTGAAGCTTGGTTGGGGCTTCGGCTTAGGGTTGGCTCGGTGGGTGATGACGTAACCGCAGACCTGCCCTGAAATACACTGAAGACCGAAATGTTGAACTTGCATAGACAGTATTGCCTGCCCAGGCTTGAGCCCGAGATCGTTTTTCTTTCTGCTAAAAATGTAGCTATTATATACATTTACAAATATGAGACGATACCCACTATTCTCATGAATATGTGCTAATTTTAAAATGGAGATTAGCATGAAAATGTTTACAGTGTGCCATCTGCAAGTGGAGATATTTCCTTGATTAATAAATGGATTCGAATTTTTAAATTTAAAATTTTTAAATTTTAAAATGACGAGTGTTATTTACTATCAATTCATAAGCTGCTTTAAAATCCTCCCCTATACCATTGAAGAATTTCCAGGGACCGTCATTGGATATGGGATACATGGATATAAAATGATAAAATTGAGGGCACTGACCCTAGATTGCAAAGTATGTGATAATGCGATCAGAACTCAAAGAGTTGTTGAATGTGGATTTTAATGCAGTCCTGCTGAGCCGATGAGCGTAACATAATAAGAATCATTCATTTTATTTATAAAGTTACTTTGCTTCCCAGATCACATTTTATCCTCATGATAACTCAGGAAGAAAAGTTTTATTATTATATGTTTTCCCTTCAAAGGAAATACCTTGGCCAGTGTGGTGGCATATGCCTATCATCCCAGCTGTGTGGGAAGCTGAGGCAGGAGGATCCCAAGTGTCAAAGCCCAGTCTCAAAATAAAACTAAAAAGGGCTGGGAACAAAGCTCAGTGGTGGAACTCCCCTGGGTCAGTCCCCATTGCTGGGAGGATGGGGGGATAGCCTGATTATTGGGAATTTTTTTTATGTAAGAAATATTCTGATTTGTGTGATTTATAATTAGAAATTGGAAAAACATTTTCTTTGTTCTTTAAATTGTACATGGTCCTTTTATGCTTTGCAGAAAAAAAAAAAATGATTGCTATCTGCAGACCCAGGGACATGTATTTCTGATTCTAGGCATATTCATTCTGGGGCCCATCTCATGCTTTACAAAGATACTTTGCTGAGATTGTGAAAAAATGGAAATAGCAAATATTATGATACCCAGGCCTTTCACCACCATTCCACAAACCCCACTACCCCCACCACCACCCCTGTCAAAAAAACCTCAACTTATCAAGTACCTGCATCTGGTAGGTTCTTTTTTGTTCTGTTTGGGTACTGTGGATTGAACCCAGGAGCCTTTAACCACTGAAGCCCTTTTATTTTTTATTTTGAGACAGGGTCTCACTGAGTTGCTTAGGACCTCACTAAATTGCTGGCTTTAAACTTGTGATATTCCTGCCTCAGCCTCCTAAGTTGCTGGAATTATAGGCATGCACCACCATGCGCGGCAGGGTGCCTGAATCTGGAAGAGTGAAGTCATGTTAGGGAACAGTCTAGTCTGTTT